TCTCTATAAATTCGGTTGCTTGTTATCTCTCTGTGCTAGTTTTAGTTGCTATGACTAAATACCTGAAAAAAATCAAGTTAATTAAAGGAAAAGGTTTATTCTGGCTCACAGTTTTAGAAGTTTCAGTCCATGTTTGCTTGGCCTTATTGTTTGGGGCCTATGGCAGCATAGTACACCATTGCAGGAACATGTGGCAGAGGAAGCCTATTCACCTCATGGTAGCCAGGAATCAGAGAGACCCAAAGGGGCAGAGGGCCCAATAATCACTTCAAGGGTATTTCCCCAGGGCCCTAGCTTCCTTCAACTAGGTACCACCTTTTAAAAGTTCTTGCTAATAGCACCACAGGCTGGGCCACACCTTTAGCACATGGGCATTTGGATGATGTTTGAGATCCAAAGCGTAGCACTCTCCCTTCTGCAACCTGTGACTGTGCTTGTTTCCCCTCGCCCAACCAGATGCTTTTTCATCTTTGAAAACAATGGATGAAAAACTACTAGCTTTTTTTTTTTTTTTTCTTGTTTCAAATTGTCTTTCCCCTTCCCAGAATAGTGGTCTGGTACCGGCCTTCATGTCTCACACATTAAAATTTCTTCTACAGTGATTTTTTATTTTCTTCTAAACTTTTCACCTCAAAAATCTTTCTAAATTGGCAGAATGCACTCTCTGAATCCTAACTTTTCTGTGAATTCTATTTTCAGGTCTGGAAGTGCCGAACACCAGTCTCTCTGTCCAAGGATAAGGGAGCAAGTTCACTCTGTGAAAATGATTTGATCCTGAATTTATTTATTTTTTTTAGTCACTTTACTGACCCTTAGATGTGTCCCTATCTCAAAACTACCCCTGTTTCTTTATTTCTTAAAATACCACCTCCATAGTGGTGTTTTACAAGATGATTAAGACAGCAGAAGACAACTACAAATGGAATTTTAGACATTCTGCTCTCTGGAACTCCATTGCTCTCTCCTCTGTGGGGCATTTTTACTGGTTCCTTTCTCTGCAGACTTTAGCCTCCTCACAACTTGTGTGCATTTCCCCTCCTTACACTTGTCTCTCCTCCTCTTTGCCTCTGGTTTCTAGCCCCAAAGTTTTAGTGACTGCTACAGAGCTACACCTCCAGTCCTTCCCATGTCTTTGATTTGCAGTTTCCTTAGCTTTGAAGAGGCCTTACATAAGATGAAGAGGCTCTGGCAGTGATTTTCCTCAAAAATAAAGTTCTTTCCTTAAGAAGAACTCAACTGTTAAGAAATCAGTATTTTCCACATCTTGTTCCCATATCTTGTCTTGGAGAACAATATCTAAACCAAACCCAGAAGCAGTTCATAGTGCAATCTGGCACACTATACAAGCCAGGTTCTGTGCACAAGTTAGTTAATAAGATGAAGAAAGCAGTTTGGCTTATTCATAGATAATGGAACTGTTTATTAACCTTGTAGTTTTTTTGTTTTGTTTTGTTTTAGCTAGCAGAAACTCATTATCCTGGAATATAGTAATTCAGTAGTTAATCTTAGGAATGCCATAAATATTTAACCTATGAAGGGAATTGCTTGTCTCCTTTTCTTTGTTAAAAAGGAAATAAATGTTTAATCAGGGAAATGTATTTTGGCTGACATGTTTCTCAGAGACTGTCTTGCTGCTTTTTTGGTAATGAAACTGTCAAAAAACAACTAGACTGAACTCAAAAGGGATTCACTGGGTTAAATTGCCTATTGTCATTTGGGTATTATGGCAGAAGACAAGCCTGGACTTATGTTTCCCAGAGTCCCCTTTTATATGTGAAGTTGACCAGGTGAAAGCCTTCCTGGAAGACTTGGAAAACTGAAAACAGAGACACTATTACTCATAGACAGGATCAGTGCCAGTCAGTGTGTGAGCCAAAGCCAGCACTGTGGCTTAGTGTCCACTGGCCCTCAAGCTCAGGAATCATTCCCTCCCAAGCTATAGGCCCAGAGAGGCTACATGTGCCTTCCAGATATCTTTGCTTCTGGGTAGACTCTGGAGAATCACTTGGTTTGTTTCCATATGGCAGGAACATAGTGTTGGCTTCTCTAGCTTTAACATCCCAGGAAATGCAAAGGTTATGTAAGCCTTTAATCTTTAGCTTGGAATACATTCATGTACTGCATAATGGCATTCAGTTTCACCATGGGCTGCATATATGATGGTGCCTATGTCGTAGAGCCTAGGTGTGCGGTAGGCAATACCATCTAGGTGTGTGTAGGTGCACTCTGGTATTTGCACCACGATGAAATCACCCAACAGTGCGTTGCTCAGCAGATCTCTATTATTAGTGACACATGACTACATATAAAATCTTTTCTCTTTTCCAGATAAAACCCTGTCTGGTATCTTGTGGGGTTTATAACAAATGTCAAAGTTAATTATGTAATAACAATACAAAGTTCATGAAAGAGGAAATCCAAGAATACTATTGCAAGGTTCTTACATATGTTGTGTTGTAATATTACTTTAAGGAAGACTGTGATAAGTAAAGAGTAAAGTATATACAATAAAAAATCCTTTAAGTGGCCTCTTAAAAAATTACAGTTCTTTTTTTTGTAAGTAACCAAAAAATGAGATATAATAGAATCATAGGAAGTACTCTGATAATCTAAAAAAGGGCAGAAGAAGGGGGAGGAAGGAACAGATTGGCAATTTGACAAATTAGCAAGATTTGGATTGGATTTAGATTGAAACCCAACCATATCAATGATCCAAATTTAATTGTCAAAACACCTTAGCTAAAAGGTGGAGATTGTTATAGTGAATTAAAATGCAAGACCTGAATATATGCTATCTATAATAAACCCACTTTAGATGTAAAAACACATTTTAAAAGTAAAAGGATGGGGGAAATGTACCATGTTAATACTATTCAATGAACATTGGGAATGTTTGTTAATATCAGACAAAAAATTACCAGGATATAATAATATAAAAATTATCAAGAATAAAAATAGTCATTATAGAATGATAGAGTCAATTAATCAAGAGATATAGCAACCATCCTAAACAAATAAATATCTAATAATAGAGCTTCAAAATATGTGGGTCAAAACTGATAGAACTGAAAGAATAACTACACAGATCTACAAGACAATTATGTTCATAGGTTTTCTGCCCCTCAGTAATTGATAGAACAAGTAGAGAATCAGGAATATAGAAGACCTGAACAATGCAGTTAGCCAGCTTGATCCAACAGGCTTATAGAGCATTTGTTCTCCTCCAAACATTAGCAGAAAAAGTATGTTCTTTTCAAGTGTGCCCTAAACATTACCAAGTATGTTAGTTAAGCTTTCCATTACTATAACATACCCAGAATAAATAAATCAGCTCATAGAGTTAGTCAGCTCTCCATCACTGTGACACAGTACCTTAGAAAAACAAATTAAAGGAGGAAAGGTTTATTTTAGCTCATGGTTTCAGAGAGTTCAATCCATGTTCACTTGGCTCCATTGTTTCTGAGCCTGTGGCAAGGCAGAACATCCCAGTGGGGAGCATGTGGCAGAGCAAAGATCCTTACCTCATGGTGGCCAGGAAATCAGAAAGAAAAAAAGGGAAAGCAATGGGCCAGGGACAAGCTATACCCTTCAAAGGTATACCTTCAGTGACCTCCTTTCTCCAACCAGGCCCCACTTCCTAAAGTTTCCACCACTTCTCAATAACGCCACCAGCTGGGGACCGATTCTTCAACATATAAGTCTTTGGGGCACGTTCCAGATTCAAACTACAACAGAGAGAAAAGGGTTATTTGGGTTCGCAGTGTGGGAGCTTCAGTCCATGATCAGTTGGCCCTGTTGCCTCTGGGTCTGTGGCAAGGCCGCACACCACGGCAGGGAGCACAGGGCAGAGCAGAGCTCTTCACTTCCCAGCCAGGATGTGGAGAGAAAGGAAGAGACAAGAGTCTCTTAAGGGACCACCCCCAGCGAAGAGCTCCTGCTAGGCCCCGTCACTTACAGTTTTCAGCACCTCCCAATAGTGAAGACCAAACTGGGAACTAAGAGTTTAACACATGGCCCTTTGAGAGACATTCTAGAGCCACACTCCAGCACCAAGATAGACCATCTCCTGGATCCTAAAAAATATCTCAGTAAATTTAAAAGGATTCAGATCATTTAAAGAATGGTCTCTGGCCACAATGGAATTAAACGAAAAACAATAGGACAACATCTAGAAAAACTCCAGACGTTTGGAAGGACTCTTGAACTAAGACTAAAGCAGTAGGCATAGGAAGAGGAGAAGAATGAGTGGAGAGTGGTGACATGTGGATCTCAAAGGTGAGGAAAGGGGCCGGTCTGAGGTGACATCCATGTGTCCATGCTCAGACGTTCAAGAACTGGGTTCAAGGAATGTGTATTTTTATTAGAGATCGTTTTTAATCAGTTTGGATTATATTAACTTGCTCTATAATATTAAAAAGTGGACTTGACACTTTTCAATAATAAATTTACATACAGCTTCCAGCAGTATACCTAAGAGATCTTAAAGTACTACAGTAGAATTGGTTGGAACCCAGGGGACGATGAGGGGTTAAACCCTGTGGGATCTGAATCTGAGTTAGGTGACAGGTCACGTCTTGCCCTTTTGCCCCCATCTCCCAGCGTCTTACTAAGCATCTATAGCCTCTGAATGACTTCCAGATAATCAGGTTCTCATATTCAGGAGGACAGAGACTTAGTGACTTAAAGTGGAAAACTGCCTCCTCATTGAAGAGGTGGCAGTAAGAAGGCAGAGTCAAATGGAAGCCTTTCTGTTGGGTGTTCACAAAGTTTTCAACACATAGTTGAAGCCACCTCAGAAAAATGTTTTGGGTGGAGCTGACTTATCACTGAACCCACATTTCCAGGAGTGTCTTATCCCACCCTGAGAGTTGTGGCTTCTTAGGTTTTCGGGGTTGGCAGCTTTACTTGCTTGTCAGGACCCCGACTGGTCCTTTATTTTGTTGTTCTCTGATAGATGCCTGGAATGTCTTCAAACTCTACCTCGATCCCTTGTGTTTCAGCCCGAGAAGAAGTTTGGCGTGGTGGTGGTTGGTGTTGGCAGAGCCGGCTCTGTCAGGATAAGGGACTTGCGGAATCCACAGCCTTCCTCAGCGTTTCTGAACTTGATCGGTTTCGTGTCCAGGTGACTCACGCTTGCTTTGTGCCTCATAATTTGTAGAAAGCACAGTGAGAGATAAGGCCATAGCATGTGCTGCAGATTTCCCAGACTTGGGAAGGGAGAGCCAGCCCCCACCTCCAATCAAGAGAACCATGTCAGCTCCACAGGGTCTAGAGTTTGGGTGGGTAGGCAACCAAAGAGTGCTGGGTTTACAGTTGGGACATGCAGTAGGTGCCTCATGAGGACTGCAAAGACAGACAGAAAATATGAGCACAGGTCTCCATTACTGAAGGGGCACAGTGAACACATGGTAGGTTTGTCCAAAAAAGGCTTTAGGTGTATGCTAATTGATCATTACATCAGTCATCAGAGCACCCACTCTATGGTGGCCCTGAGCTTTTCTTACATTATTTTATTCTAAGTACAACCCCAGTTTACAGATAAGGAAACTGAGTCCCAGAAAGTCTGAGTAATTTGCCTGAGATCACAGCTAGAAAATCTTAAGAGCTAGATTTGAATGCAAGTCTGTTTGATTCCAAAGCCCATCTTCTAAACACTGTGTGTTCTTTTCCCATTGATAATTTGGAGGCCCACTTTTCTTAAGGATTCATTTATTTCCTATAACACAATGGAAAGCAAACTTAACATCTTATCACCTTTTGAGTGTGGGTCAGGGAAGTTTCTTCTCAAATCTTCCCCCTACACACATACTACTCAGCAAGATAATCCTGTGTAACATCATTTATCAACACAATTTTAAATTAGATCCAGGCACTGGGCTAAGCATGGAGACATGGCAACAATTTATGCAAATCTCTATTTCTAGTGCTTTAGAAGCATAAGTAATTATTGTGGTGGTCCATGCAGAGATTTTCTCATTTTAATTCATAGGACCATTTTCTTCCAGTCTGCCTGTCTTAAAACTATATTAAAATAGCTGCCATTCTGACTGGAGTGAGATGAAGTTTTAGAGTGGTTTTGATTTGCATTTCTCTAATTGCTAGCGATGATGAACATTTTTTCATATATTTGTTAATTGATTGTATATGATCTTCTGAGAAGTGTCTGTTCAGGTCCTTGGCCCATTTATTGATTGGATTATTTGTTTTTTGGTGCTTAGCTTTATATATATATATATATATATATATATATATATATATATATTGTTTTTTTTATTAGTTGTTGATGAAGTTTTAAATTTTATTTATTTATTGGTATGTGGTGCTAGAATCGAACCCATTTTCGTGCCTCGCACATGCTAGGCAAGCACTCTACCACTAAGCCACAATCCCAGCCCTGGTGCTTAGCTTTTTGAGTTCTTTATATACCCTAGAGATTAGTGCTCTATCTGATGTGTGAGGGGTAAAGATTTGCTCCCAAGATGTAGGCTCTCTATTCATCTCACGGATTGTTTCTTTTGCTGAGAAGAAACTTTTTAGTTTGAGTCCACCCCATTTATTGATTCTTGATTTTAATTATTGTGCCAAAGAAGTCTTATTAAGGAAGTTGGGGCCTAATCCCACATGATGGAGATTAGGGCCTCCTTTTTCTTTTATTAGACGCAGGGTCTCCGAGGATGTGGGGCAAAAGGATACACTCATACCCTGCCGGTGGGACTGCAAATTGGTGCAACCAATATGGAAAGCAGTATGGAGATTTCTTGGAAAATTGGGAATGGAACCACCATTTGCCTAGCTATCCCTTTCCTCGGTCTATACCCAAAGGACTTAAAAACAGCATACCACATCAATGTTTATAGCAGCACAATTCACAATAGCTAAACTGTGGAACCAATCTGGATGCCCTTCAGTAGATGAATGCATAAAAAAATGGCATATATACACAATGAAATATTACTCATCAATAAAAGAGAATAAAATCATGACATTTGCAGGTAAATGAATGGAGTTAGAGGAGATAATGCTAAGTGAAGTTAGCCAATCCCAAAAAACCAAATACCAAATGTTTTCTTTAATATAAGGAGGCTGATTTGTAATGGGGTAGGGAGAGGGAGCATGGGAGGAATAAAGGAATTCTAGATAGGGGAGAGGGGTTGGAGGGGAAGGGAGGGGGCATGGGGTTAGAAATGATGGTGGAATGTGATGATCATTATTATTCAAAGAACAGGTGTGAAGACACGAATTGGTGTGAATATACTTTGTATCCAACCAGACATATGAAAAATTGTGCTCTATATGTGTAATAAGAAATGTAATGCATTCCACTGTCATATATAAATTTTTTAAAAACTATACTAAGGATTTAGAGTGGGCTTTAAGACACAAGGGAGCCCTAGAAGTTCTGGAATCTGCTCTTAACCAAGCTTTTCCTCTCAGAGTCCAAGGGAGCTGCACACAGTGGGGAGATCAAAGTTATAGCACACTCTACTACACTCCTACCTGAAGCTGGGATTTGAACATGACACTTAGGCTCAAAACTGAAATGGAAATTCTCCTTTCCCCTTAATTCCTTATCCTTACCACTTGGTTGTTATGAGAGAGAGAGTGGAAACTCCTCAACTATCCAAGTCATGTAGGAAGATGGCTAGCTCACACTTGTGCTATACTGTACCCCTGCTGTTACCCATCACCTACTTACTGCTCCCCATCACCTACTTGCTAAGCTCTACTGCCTATCCAGAAAGCCTGTTCTGAAACCCTAAACTAGCAGTGTTCCTTGCCTTCCCTGGGTTTACCACCCCTCCTCCCTAGCGTATTTCTCATGTTAGTGGTGGTAGTGGTGGTGATGGTGGTGGTGAGTGTGTATGTGTGTTTGTTTTCTTCCCTCTACTAGAATTATTAGCTAATTGGAAGATGAGAATTTTGCTTTATTTTCCATGATCTCTCCTGCAGTGCCCAGCACACAGTAGACAAACAATAAATACTGATCAGATGGAGCAGTGTAGGTTGGATGACCCTGTGGGAGAAATCTAGCAGACTATCCCTTGGGAGTGGAATTTGCCTGAATTCCCTCTGTCTGCTGCAGTGGCTATTGGTTGGAGCTTCCTGATGGCTGCCCCATATTGCTCTGTGACAGCAACCTTTCAGGGATATCTCTCCTCCTTCAAACTTCAGAGAAGTAATTCAGACTTTTCCAGGTCTTGCACACTGTTACTGGTAGTATTGGCACTCTGTGCCAAGTCCCCTGACTTCAACCCTGAGGCTCCACAACGGAAATGGGAGGGATGGAGATTAGCTTCTTCTTTTCCAAAAGCCAGTCGCTGGGACTTTGTTGAGAAGAGGAAAGAAGGATGGCACTCATTTATTTCAAGCTGACATCCTGCCTACTTTTGAGTTCTATTTATGGTTGTTCTGAAATAGACGGGACCTTGGGAGCATTGATGAAGTGCAGCAGATATCTTTGGAAGATGCTCTTTCCAGCCAAGAAGTGGAGGTTGCCTACATCTGCAGCGAAAGCACCAGTCATGAGGACTACATCAGGTAGGGGTTTGGTTGTTATTGTTTGCTTGTTTGCAGTGCCGAGGCTTGAACCCAGAACCTCATATGTGCTAGCAAGTGCTCTACCACTGAGCCACACCCCAGCTTCAGGTAGGTTTTTTTTTTTTAATGCAGGTAGTCTTTGCTTTACATTAAAAATGTGAAAAAAATAAAGCCCTGCACATGAGTCTTAATAATCAATGGGGGAAATTATTCTGTGATCTTTAAAAATAATTGTGAAAATGTTAAAAAAAAATTCTTGTTTTCAGTTATAAATGTATAAGAAATGAAAAAATAGTAAAACTAATATTAACTTAGTACACGTAATTTGAAACATTAAGAATTCAAGTGTTTATTTCTTTGTGAAAAACCCCATTGAAAGTAGTTTGAACAGAGCTTGCCTCCTTATTACACAGGTTAGGATACAGAGCCAACGTCCTTGGCAAATTGTTATACTCCTTTCTAAGTTCAGATCAGCTTTCAACATATATTTATTTATTTATTTATTTATTTATTTATTTATTGGTACTGGGGATTGAACCCAGGGTTGCTTTATCACTGAGCTACAGCCCCAAGCCTTTTGGTTTTTTCCTAGTATTCTTTTTAGTTGTAGACACAGTACCTTTATTTTTTATTTATTTTTATGTGGTGCTGGGGATTGAACCCAGTGCCTCACATTTGCTAGGCAAGAGCTCTACAACTGAGGTACTACCCCAGCCCCCCAGGCCTTTTTATTTTAGTTTGAGACAGGGCCTCACTTGCTGAGGCTGGCCTTGAACTTGCAATCCTCCTGCCTCAACTTCCTAAATCACTAGGAGTACAAGCATGTGCCACAACACCCAGCCAACTTTCAACATTTTATCCTTTGCATTTTCAGTGTTGTGAAATATCTCCTAAGTTCCTTTACCATGAAATGTTTTTGCTATGAGACAAATGAGTAAGGAGATAGTAGTGTCATTGAACAAGGGAAATGCATTGTTTGTAGGGAAGGAGAGAAATAAAATGTGTGAATGCTTAGCCTAGAGCCTTTTAAGCATTTGGTGTGACCCAATGCAGAAGAAGGAATCCCAGAAAGAACTTGGCAGCCAACAGGAAAGTCCAGCTGAATTCCTGAGTAGATTCTTACACAGAACTCCAGCTGCTACTACTGTGCTGTTCCATGGGTTCCCTTAAAGTTCTCTGGCACCAGAGTTTATTTTCTTTAAAAAAGTGATCATATAACTTTGTGCTTGTAAATACTTATACCCTACTATCAAGATAATAATATCCAGCCAGGTGTGGTAGTATATACCTATAATCCCAGCTATACCATAGACTGAGGCAGAAGGATTCAAGTTCCAGGCCAGCCTGGATAACTTTGCAACTTAGTAAGACTTTGTCTCAAAATAAAACTTTTAAAAAGGGCTGGGGATGTACCTCAGTGGTAGAGTGCTTCCCTAGCATGTACAAGAATCTGGGTTGAATCTTCAGTACTAGAAAAAAAAATCCATAATATTCTTCCTCCATATTCTCTGACACTGACTCTTGGCCCCATCATGATATATTTACAGAGACTCTCTTGCATTTACAGCTTTCTGTTCTCTCTCATGCAGAGCATTTCAGTGAAGCTTATTTGAATGTTTTTTCCCTGTATTTCTCCTTTCCCAAAGGAAGTTCCTGAATGCTGGCAAGCATGTCCTTGTGGAATATCCCATGACGCTGTCTTTAGCAGCAGCTCAGGAATTGTGGGAGCTGGCCGAGCAGAAAGGTGATGTATGTGTTGTCTTGAATACAGACCCACTTAGTAAGAGCTTCTGCCTCCAGAATACCTGTGGTACCTGTGTTAGTCAGTATTCCATGGCTGTGACAAAATACCTTAAAAAATGAACTCAAGGAAGGAAAGGTTTACTGTGGCTCACAGTTTCAGAGGTTTCACTAGGCTCTATTGTTTCTGAGATTATTAAACAGCATCACAGTATTATTAAATCACAGAGACTATTAAACAGCATCTGCTCACCTTCTGGGATCTGGGAAGCAAAAAGAGCAAGTGAGGTGGGGCCGGGGATAAGACATATCTTTTCAGGGCACATCTCCAGTGATCCTCCTCCAGCAGGGCCTACCTCCTACAGTTTTTACCACCTCTCAATAGTCCAGTCATTCATTAACCCATCAATAGAGTGATCCATTGATGAGGTCACAGCCCTCATGATCCAGTCACTTCTCAAAAGCCCCATTTCTGAACATTGCTACATTGTACATCAAACCTTTGAAGGACACAGCCTTTGAAGGACATTTGAGATCCAAACCAAGATCGTTCCATCGTCAATCGTTACTCCTTTCAAATTTAATCAATCTCAGATATATATATATATATATATATATATTTTTTTTTTGATACTGAGGATTGAGCCCAAGGGTACTCTACCACCAATCCATATCCCTATATCCGTAACCTTTTTTTTTTTTTTTTGCATACCAGGAACACTTAATCACTGAGCCACATCCCCAGCCCTATTTTGTATTTTATTTAGAGACAGGGCCTCACTGAGTTGCTTGGGGCCTCATTGTTACTGAGGCTGGCTTTGAACTCTCGATCCTTCTGCCTCAGTCTCCAGAACTGTTGGGATTACAGGTATGCACCACGGCACATAGCCCTCACCCTTTCTTTTTTAGTATTGGGGATTGAACTTAGGGGTACTTGGCCACTAAGCTACATCCCCAGGCCTATTTTTATTTAGAGACAGGTTCTCATTGAGTTGCTTAGCACCTCGCTTTTGCTGAAGCTGGCTTTGAACTTGTGATCATTCTGCCTCAGCCTCTGAAGCTGCTGAGATTACAGACGTGTGCCACTGTGCTCGGCAGCCCTGACCCTTTTTATTTTTTTTATTTTGAGGAGCTCATTAAGTTGCTTAGGCCTTGCTAAATTGCTGAGGCTGGTCTTCAACTTGTGATCCTTTTGCCTCAGCCTCCCAACTTGCTGGGGTTACAGGTGTGCACCATCGTGCCCAGCTCAGATATATTTTCCAGGCCATATTGGTACTATGGGCTCCCAAGATCCTTCCTACTCCCATACAGAAGCAGTACTCGGAGGCCAGAGGGAAGGGTATTTGCAAACTTTTACTCTAATGACTAAAGATAAATTGTCTCCTACTGTGCTAGTATCATGACATTATTTTGGTCTTATGTATGTGATACTTACATTGTTAATGGAAAATATGCAAATATCTTATTTGCATACTTTAGTCTTTGTTGTTTCACAAAAGGAGCAACTATAATGTTACATGCCAGGAGCTTGGAAACTTTGAAGTATTTCATATGCTTAATTCTCCTAGAAACCCTTGGAGATAGGTGTTTTAATCTACTTTCTGTTGCTATAATAGAACACTTGAGACTAGATAATTTATAAAGAAGAGAACTTTGTTTTTACTCTATAGAGTGCTGGAGGCCAGAAGTCCAAGATCAGGTGTTTGCATCTGTTTGGCTTCTGGTGAGGCTCTCCTGCAGCTGCATACATGGGGGAAAGTAGAAAGACAAACTGGCATGTACAAAGAAAGAATGGGGCTTCTTCATTTAGCCAGTTCATTTCCCAAAAGAGCAAGAACACACATGAGAAAAGCATTCATCCATTCACAGAGGTGCAGATGCCTTGCTATAGGTCCCACCTCTCAACACTGCTACATTGGGACCCAAGCCTCAACATGAATTTGGTTAGGACAAACCATATTCAAACCTGTGTAGCAACAAGTATTTGCTTACCACCACTGTAGACAGATCATACTTTACTGAAATTTTTAAAAAATATTTTTATAGTTGTAGATGGACAGAATGCCTTTATTTTATTTGTTGATTTTTATGTGTTGCTAAGAAGTGCACCCAGTGCCTCATGCATGCTAGGCAAGCACTCTGCCACTGAGCTACAGCCCCAGCCCTATTGAAACTTTTGATTATTGTTTTCAAACACTGGGATATACTCCTCTAGGCCAGGGCCCATCTTCTACTTCTATAGCCCCAGCAGCTAAACACTGCCTAGAACTCAGTAGGCCTTTAGTAGATGTCTGTGGAATGAACAAACAGATGAATGAATACAGAGGTGAATGAAAGTAGGGGAAGCTTTATGGTCATCACATCTTGTGTGATTTCTTAGGATACAGATGTCTATAGAGAAAGTACAAGGTGCCACAATATGTCTCACAGGCTTCTTGCTAATTGCAAAGGGAAGAAAGTGTACTATTATTATAAGCAGCTTTATATTATCTAAAATGATAGCCAATATGAATTAATCTGACATCACCAGCCATCTGGTATTCTTGTAAAATGTTTATCTAGATATAATGACATTTAAATCAAACTTTTAGTTAACAGAAAATATAGGTTTAGAGGAACAAGTTAAACATTAAAAAAATATGAGCAAAGTAGAATGTGGAACAATAGTATGTTAGCATGGCAGAATACCTGAGGCAATCAACTTACAAGGCGGAAAGCTTTATTTTAGCTCACAGTTTCAGAGGTTTCAAGTCCATGGTCACTTGGCTGTATTGCTTTGGGTGTGTGGTGGTACATCATGGCAGGAATGCATGACAGAGGAAGCCAGGAAGCAAAGACAGTTGGGAAATGGAGAAGGTCTGTCTATCCCCTTTACACAATGACCTACCTTCCTTCCACTACCCCACCTCCATGATCCCATCACCTCTTAGTAGCACTATGGCTGCAATGCAGCCTTTAACACATAGGGCTTTGGCAGGCATTCCAGAGCCAAAGTATAGCCAACACTAGACAGTATAATAGGTTAAATTTTCTTCAAAAAAGATAATGCCTTGTATATAGTAGTGTTCTTCCAAAGACTACAGTATAGAAAGGAGGGGATAGGAGTATCTTTACACTAAAGAAGCCAGACAAACACTACCTCACCAGATGAGCAGGGTCAGTGTCAACATGAGTCATATGAATAGCATGTACGCTTGATGTGAAAGATGAAAATGGCCTTTCGCCTCTGTAGTCTTCCTCCCTAAAACACATAACCCAATCTAATCGTGAGAAAAATACCAGACAACTCTCAGTTGAGGGAAATTTTACAAAATATCTGATCAATCCTCTTCAGAACTGTCAAGGTCATTAAGAAACAAGGAAAGCCTGAGAAACCTGGCAGCCCGAGAAGAGTACCAGGAGTCATGACAACTAAATGTAATGTGGGATTCTGAAACAGAAGAGGCATGTTGGGTAAAAACTAAAAATCTGAATAAAGTTTGACCT